ATGTTTTCACCTGCTTAGACCTGACCTGGCAGCTGAAGAGAGTTTCCTGGGATTCCTGTTCCTGCGGCCCTGAGGAAAGAGAGAAGCACCTGCCTGGAAAGGACAGGGAAGACATGGTGGAATATACTTTCCAATCTTGGCTTGGAAAGGCTCATGGGGCTTGTAGGAAGTGAGAATATGGCTTCCCTGCCACTTCTTAAGAAGATATGCAAGTCCCACCCGCTGCCTTGAAGTCTTGGCCCTGCCAATGACTAGCTCTGGACCTTAGGCCCTCTCTCTGCTCCTCCCTCTTCATTGGTAGAAGTGGGTGGATTTGGGTGGGTGACGGTTGCGGGGAACATTAACCTGCATGGCCACAAAGGTGCCAACCAGCTTAGCTGTTCCAGACCTCAGCTCCTGAAATAGTGCTAAATCCACAGGACTCAGCAGGGTCTATTGAAGCTCACTGGCACTCACTGTACATGAAGCTAGGGCACTGAACACCAAAATGTTGAAATACTTACGTACCTACTGGTAAGTAGATTCTTCTCTCAGCCTTGGGACACCACCCTACCATACCTGCCTATGATCCAGCAACTAAAGAGTGAACACCTGGCACAGATGGAGGCCCCCAGAACAGTGCTCCCACTTTCTGATCGCAGGGGATAATGGTTGAGCTACAAAAATGCCTAGGCCCAGGAGCAGCTTTCAAGGAGAACCCATTTCTAGACCCATGGGAGACATGGAGAATCATAGTTAGCAAAACAAAGAGCCCAACAACCCCATGCCTTTAGCCCAGGGAGGCCCCTTGGCTTATTTGGCTTTGTCCTATAGTCATGGCTTCCTTTGTTCATTCATCCACTTACCAAATATTTATTGCACACCTACTATATTCCAAGTACTATTCTTTTTTTTTCTTTTTTTGAGATGGAGTTTCGCTCTTGTTACCCAGGCTGGAGTGCAATGGCGCGATCTCGGCTCACCGCAACCTCCGCCTCCTGGGTTCAAGCAAAATTCTCCTGCCTCAGCCTCCTGAGTAGCTGGGATTACAGGCACGAGCCACCATGCCCGGCTAATTTTTTGTATCTTTAGTAGAGACGGGGTTTCACCATGTTGACCAGGATGGTCTCGATCTCTCGACCTTGTGATCCACCCGCCTCGGCCTCCCAAAGTGCTGGGATTATTACAGGCTTGAGCCACCGTGCCCGGCATTCCAAGTACTATTCTAACTGCTAGAAATGCAAAGGAAGACAAGCCAGACAAGGTCCCTGCTTCATGAAACTTACGTTTTAGGAGGAGACAGATGATAAACAAGGAAACAAGATAATTTCTGATAATAATAGTAAGTGCTATGAAGAAAATGAAACAGCATTATGAGGTAGGGAGTTACTGGGGGTGGGGGAAAGGAAGGAGGGGCAACTTTAACTTGGAAAGCCAGGAAAGGCCTTTCTGAGTATACAGGATTTGACCTGATGATGGACAGGGTCTGGGGGAAGTGGTTTAGGCAGAGGGGGCAGGACGTGCAAAGTCCTAGAGGTGGAAAAGAGCATGGCATATTTGAGAAACAGAAAGGACAGTGTAGATGATGAACAAAAGATAAGGGAGAGAGTGAGATGAGGTGAGGTAAAAGAGGTAGGCGGGGAGCAGATCACGTAGGGTCTTCCAGGCTACCATGGAGTATTTGAATGTTATTCCAGGGTCAGTGGGAAGGTATTGACTGGATTCAAGCATGAGCTACATTATATGTTTCTTGAGGGCAGACACCATGTCCTTGACATTCTAGTGCCCCCACAGGGCCATCACCCAATAACAATAATAGTTGCCTTTGCTCAAAATTTGCACATCATGGGCCAGACACTCTTCTTGGCATTCTCTTAATTCTCACAACAAATAAATGCTAAAAGTTCCATTAATACTCCCACTTTACAGACAAGGAACCAGAGGGTCCAGAAGGTCACAGAACTTGCCAAGGTAACTAGCCAATGTTGGAACCAGGATTAGGACCCAGGTAATCTGGGCACTATGGGTCCAAAGAGAGAAGGACTGAAGAATTGATGTGCATCCAAGAAGTTCTGGTGAACAACCAAGAAGTTCCTTCTGCTATCCAAGTAGAGGTCAGGTGAGGAAGAAACCAGCTCATTGGACTTGCAGTGAAGGGGAAAGAATGGGAGAAAGACTGGGACCCAGGAAGCCAGATGGAGGGGTTTCTTCCTTTCTTCTCCCTGAATATGGCAAAGGCAAACCTTGAAGACCGGCTGTCTGAGGCTGCCACCCACCCAGGGTCTCAGCTACCTTCCAAACCTGGATCTTCTTCAACCTCTCCTGAAGCCTAGAGCTCTCCATGAACAAGTCAGAATCGCCTTGAACCTGTTTGGAAAGGAGAGGGCAGAAATAACGGCATAAGGACAGGAGTTCCTCCTGCCCTCAACAACAAACACTTTCAGCTTTCAGGAAAGCACAAGTCAGAGGGGGAGCCAGGGTAAAGAGGAAAAGCCACAGAAGAGCACTGTGCCTGGCAATCTACATAAGCTTACTCCTCACCAAAGTCACTGTTACAGAGGAGGAACTGAGACTCACATGCCCTGTAACTGGACCAAGGTCACATTGCTAGTTAAGCAGGATTCACTCGTGACTCTGACTGGCTCCATTCCACACCTGGGTGTTTCAGAAGCTGTCTTATTTCCCACTCATTTGCCCTCTGTTGTCCTTCTTCTACCCTTCCCCCAGCAGGGAAGCTGCCTGCCCATCTCCCACCACCTTGCCTGGTCCTAGCAGCTTCCTTCCTGCTTAGCCTTTTCTGGCCTCCATCTATTTTCCCTCAACCCAGTCAAAGCATTCATTTTTGAAGACAGGGTTTCCTGCCCACCTCCACCTTGGACCCCAATTTTCCTGGCAGTCCCTTGGGCAGAGATCACACCAAGTCACTCCCTAGCAGCTGATATCTGCGTGCCTGGTTGGAAAGTCTTCCCTAGTGGCCACCACCAAACTGAAGCTGGGAAGCAGGAGCTCTCCCTAGAAATTTAAAAGTTCATCTACCATCCTAGTGGAAGTTGGAATCTATTCAGGATTCTGTTCCATCACCATGAGCCAGCCTAGAGTCAACACAGTTCATTCCCATCCCCATGTTTATTCCAGAATCTCTCCCTGTTCCACCCCATAGGCTCCACCCAACTCTTCCCACAGAGGGTTCTTCACTGGTGACCAGGCAATAGAGTGGGGAAGGAGCTGGGGCAGGTGTCCTGGCCACACTGTCCTAGGAAATGCCTAGATGTGTGGGCCTATGGAATACTGAGGCAGGGGTACCTGACCAGAGCCTCAAGTTCACAGGGCCTTGTATTACATTTCTGATCGTATCTCCAAATAAGCTAATGCACAGAGTCATTCTCTATTGTATGTATTTGAAGCGTTAATTTGCTCAATGTAAACATCCAAAATATACCACATCTTTCAGTCCTGTTTGGCATCTTGCTTTTTAAATACCAGGAACCTCAAAAATGGAGGAAGGCAGGCTTTCACTCAAGCCTGACAGGCCCTGATGTGTGTGTTCCCAAAGGTAAGGTCCAGGGAAGCAGCACACACTAAGGAGTTATCCCAGGGCAGAGGAGGTGTAGAGGCTGGGAGCAACGTCCTTTCAATGGAATCTCCTCGGGGGTTAGATCTCAGCTCCTCTGGAAGAGTTCTACCAACTTTTGTGCCGGCGGTCCCCAGTCCTCTCCTCCTAGCAGCAAGAGTGAACCAGGCTGTGTAGGCCGGCAGGCCCAGACTGGCAGAGGAGTGTAAGAGGCCACACGACCTGCCTGCCTGCAGCTCTGGAACCAGACGCCCAGCTTCTTGTTCTGTCACCAGGGCGAGAATCCATGTCCAGCGTTAGACTCCCTGCCTGTGCCCGGCAAGAACGGCCCAGCGAACCCTGCTGCCCTGCAGTGGAGGCACTGAGAAGCCGAGAGGCTCTGCTAAAGGCCCCGCAGAGCGGAAGGCGAGCGCTCCCTCCCATGGGAAAGACAGATGTGGGGCTAATGAAAAGGAGGCCATGTGGCTCGGGGCTGCGGGGGAGACGCGGGGGCGTGGCAGGGAGAGGAAAGCTCCCGAAGGGAGGCGACCGGACCAGACCACCGCGATCGAGGCCAGCCGCGGAGTCTGGAGGAGGGAGGCGCGGGGGACTGGGGCCTGGGGCGAAGGCGCGGAGTGGGGGGGGGGGGGGAGGTGAGGGGATGGGAACAGGCAGTTGGACCCGAGGGTCCTGAGCTGAAACTCAACACCCGCCTTTGGAAGGATCGTCCCCCTTTCTCCTCCGCCCCTTCCCTTCTCCTCCCCTTTCCCCTCCCTCCTTTCTCTTAATCCCCCGGACGGAGCCCCGCGACAGAGAGAAGAGGGGAGAGGGCCTGAGGGGAGGAGAAAGGAACTGCACTGAGACGGGCCCGGAGCCCAGGAAGGGGAGGGAAGGGCAGCCGCGAGCCAGGGGTGAGCCCGGGGGCCACGCGCGACCCCCCGGAGCCTTCGCAGCCCTCTCAGTGTCCCCACGCCCAGCCCAGGCGAGTCCACAGGACCCGGGCCTCTGCTCCTCCTTCGCCTTTTTGCTCCTTTTGCTTTGTGGCCTTTTTTTCCCTTCCCAGAGACACCTAGGAGCTGCCCCCAAGCTATGGGGCGCGCCACGGGGCCCTGCCCAAGCTGCGTGTGAGCGGGACCGGCGGGGCCGGCGCCGGGTGCCAGGGGCCGAGGGTGGGAGCCGGAGCGCGTGGCGCTGAACCCTGGAGCCGAGGGCTGGAAAGGGGCTGGGGCCCTCCACCCTCCGGGCACGGGACACGCGTCGTCGGGAAGGCAGTCCGGCCTATTCCAGGGGTGCCTGCGTGCTGGTTGTTGCAGCCCGGGGCGAGGCGCCGTGGGGGCGACCTCAGACCCCTGGGAGCGCTGAGTGAGTGCGCGCGTGAGAACCGCCGCGCCGCGGGGGGTGCAAGTGTCTGGGCAGTAGCTGCCACTCCGGTGACCCAGCCCCACGGCCACGCTCTCGAGGGCCTTTGGTGCCAAGCAACTTGAGACAAACATCTCAGTTCTCGCACTCCCTCCCTCCCAACCGGACCGCCGCAGACCCCAGCCCTGGGAGCATCGCTCTGCACCGGGGCGGGAGGGTGGAGAGGGTTGGCCCCCTAAACTCGCTCGTCCAGCCGAACCGCCCAGGCGGCTTCTCCCAGCCCTCGAGGCTCTCCTGAGCAGCTTGGAGAGGCGTCGAGCACAGCCCAGCGCCCGCCTGCGCCTGCTCGCCTGTCCCGGCCCCAGAAAGGAACTTTCGGCTCCCGCAGGCCCAAGGCGGGCAGCTCCAAGGCCCTGGCCGAGACGGTGACGCCCGGGAGGCCACGGGGACAGCACGGAGCGCGCGCCCTTGGATGCCGTCCCGCAGCGACGCCCCGGCCCGCCCTGCTCCTCCTCCTGCCTGGATAGCCTGCCTCTCCTTTGGGAAGTTTTGTGGGTTTTCTTTCTCCTCCTCCAACTTTGGCGGAGGCCGCGACTCAGGCGCCACAGCTGGGGGTGGCCTCCTGGCCTAGAGGCCGCGGACCATGGTGCGGGACAGCCACCGCTGAAGTCAGCAAAACCGAGCCTGGCCTGAGGCAGGCTGCGCGGGAGGCCAAAGCCATGGCCATTGCCACGTCGGTAAGTCCACCAGGGAGCGGAGGCTGCCGGGGAGAGACCTCCACGGCCTGCCCTGCGCTCCTGTCACTTTATTTCTGTCCTCTCTTTGTCTCTCTCCTTGATCCCTTTCTTCTCCAGGAGGCTGTGTCCCTCTCCTCTCACTTTTCTTTCCCTTCGCCCTCTCACTCGTCATGCTCTGCTCCTCCAGGCTCTGGCTCGCCCCTCCTCCCCGCCTCCTCCCCATTCTCCTTTTTCTTCCTAGAGGCTGCGCCTGAATGGAGGGGAGGGGGCAAGTGTATCCCCAGTCCTGCCTGCTCCCTTTTGGGCGGGAACAGATGGCCACTGGTGGTTGGCGGGGGCTTGTGATTGGGAGGCAAATGAAAGGTTTGGAGGGAGTTGAAAGGACCTAATGGCTCACGGAAAACAAGAGGCTGAAGGACCCAAGGAGGCCCATCTCTAGGGATAAGGAAAAGAGGGAAATAGAGCAGAGGGAGATCAGGCAAGGAGAAAGAGAAGACAAGAGGGAGGAGGGGAGATGATGTCAGCCAGCCTCAGGCCACTTTCCAGGGATCAGGACAAAGGGAGGAGACAGCTGGCATGATGGGACAGTGGGAGGTGGCCTCCCAGACAGTTCAGAGGCCCTCTGAAACCCGCATTAGGCTGGCCTTTCCCTCACTAGTCAGCTGGGCCGCTGCCGGGGTATAGAGCAGGAGTGGCCACACCCATCATCAATCAGTCCAACAACTCGGTCCTGCAATGGCAGGGCCCAGAGCTTGACCCCATTGGACAGAACTCAAACCTAACACCGAGAGGAGCGCTCAGCAGCTCCTCCTCTGCTTTCTGTTCTGCAGTCTAGGCAGTCTGAATTCAGGCAGCTTTGTTCCAACACCCTCTTCCAGGTCCTGCCTAAGATTGCCAGGGAAGCGAGGCTGTCCCCTGCTTTCTGGTCCCTTCTCAGTGGGGACTCTGGGAGAGATAATTGTGAGACTGAAAAGAGAAGCACAGAGCCACCCAATGTCCTCCCATACCCTTTGAGGACAAGTTCAATTTTGGTTCTTTCTCAGACCAAACTCCCTTTAATTTTTTTTTTTTTTTTTTTTTTTTTTTTTTTTTTTTTTTTTGGAGACAAGGTCTCAACCTGTCACCCAGGCTGGAGTGCAGTGGCATAATCATGGCTCACTGCAGCCTCGACCTCCTGGACTCAGGTGATCTGCCTGCCTCAGCCTCCTGAGTAGCTGGGACTACAAGCACACACCACCACATCGACTAACGTTTTGTATTTTTTGTAGAGGCGGGGTTTTGCCATGTTGCCCCTGCTGGTCTCAAACTCCTGGGCTTAGGCAATCCGCCCTCCTCAGCCTCCCAAGGTGCTGAGATTACAGGCATGAGCCAATGCACCTGGCCCCAAACTCCTTTTGGTTCCTCAATCTGTAATGATGGCCAGGAAACCCTAGCTCAGGGTGGGGAAGGAGGCCCTCTGGAGACAGAGTACCTCTGGGAGTACTCTGGCATAGAGATCCATGGTTCAGGATCCAGCTGGTCAGCTTTGTAGTCCCAAAAAGGTGGATTTTTCTTTTTGGGGTCAAGGGCACCTATGCTAATCAAACTCACAGGTTTCTAATAACAGCTATTATTTATTAAGCATTTACTGCACCTGGCCCTGTGCTAAGCATTGTCACAGTTTCTTTATGCAGTTCTCACAACCACCTTGTGAAGATAGTGCCATTATTATCTGAAAATGGATACGTAGATAGGGAATTCTACAAAGGAGGAAATTGAGACTCAGAAAAGTTAAACGCTCTGTCCCTTTCTTCCCTAGGCTAGAAAGGGACAGAGCGCTGAGCAGTGGGTGGCAACAGTAATCCCAGGTACTTAAGAGGCTGAACCAAAGCATTTGAGGTTATAGTGAGTTATGATTGTGCCACTGCACTCCAGCCTGGGCCATGGAGCAAGAGCTGGTCTCTAAATTAATAAATATTTAAATAAAAATTTTAAAAGAAAGAAACACAGCCAAGACTCAACCCCAGGTCTGCCTCTGGAACTGTGCTTTTAATCCCCCTGGCTAGATCCAAAAAAACGATTTATAATTTACTACTAAAAAGAAAAGTGCAGCGCTAACCAGGAATTTGTGTCATCTGGTTGGCATGTTTTCTTTGTGTGAGACAATATCCTTTAGAAACCAAAATTTAATCAGAAAATGGTTTGATGAGTTGGGAATCAGGCAAGAAGCAGCAATTTGTTGTTAAAATCACCCAGCCATGAAGGGCTGGACAACCTCACCACCAGAGGGAAACATCAGCCAAGAGGAACATGCACTCCTGCTGACTGAGCAGGGCATCCTTCTCCCAGGGTCTGGTGGCAGCCTGCCTGAGATCTTTAACTTGAGACTTTTTTACTGAATTAGTCCATTTGGCTACCTGGCTAGTAGTGCCTAACTAGCTGCTCTCCAACACTACATGTAAGTCACTACTGCCTGGGATCCTACCAGCAGTCATCATTATTTAACAATCAAAACTGAAGCTGAGGGGGCCGGGCACGGTGGCTCAAGCCTGTAATCCCAGCACTTTGGGAGGCCGAGGCGGGTGGATCACGAGGTCAAGAGATCGAGACCATCCTGGTCAACATGGTGAAACCCCATTTCTACTAAAAATACAAAAAATTAGCTGGGCATTGTGGCGCATGCCTGTAATCTCAGCTACTCAGGAGGCTGAGGCAGGAGAATTGCCTGAACCCAGGAGGCAGAGGTTGCGGTGAGCCAAGATCGTGCCATTGCACTCACTCCAGCCTGGGTAACAAGAGCGAAACTCTGTCTCAAAAAAAAAACAAAAACTGAAGCTGAACATACTTGTATTTAAGTGGTTTAAGCTTAACTCTACCAAAGGACATCATGGAGCAAGAGCACTGCGAAGGGTTATAGCAAAGGGAAATTGGATACAAGAAGACCTTCTATTCATTTGACTCACTTTTGAGTTAGGGAGCCTCAGAGCCGCTGTTACTACTCTTTCTTTTAAGTAGATTCCTACATTTGTAATTGTGGAGAAGCAGTAGAGCAGTGAGTGAGAGCACGGGCTCTGGAATCAAGCAGCTTAAGGTTCAGATTATGCCCCACCAGCTGTGCCAGTGATATAGCATCGGGCAAAGTACTAACCTAGCTCTTCCACTTTTCTTTCCAAAATGGGGTAATGATGGTTCCTCCCTTGTAAGGTTGTTGTGAGAATTAAGTAAGATTAGTTGATTAATGCAAAGATTTGCACTGTGTCTGGACACATCATTTGCACTTGGTACCTGTGACTTATTACCTGAACATGAATCCCTTGATGAAAAAAAGCTTATAAGCCCCCACCAGACAGGACGGGAAACAGGATGATACATGTTTGCTTTGGTTGGCCTGCCAACCCCTTTCATACGCACACACACACTCACAAGAATATACACAAGAATATACATGGTAACCTCAGCCTTTTCTGGTAGAATCTTATTTCCTCAGACTGAGAGCAAAACGACTGCTTCGTTTCTGTTTTCTTTCTTGTTATGCCTAGGCGCACTGTCTGGACTAGGCCTTTCCCGGTCTCAGAATGAGAGATCTCTGCGGCTGCTTAATCTCTTTTGCTAGTGAGGGATAATGACTCTGGAACAGAGAGAAGGTAAAGGAGATTCTGTGAGGGACTGTAGCAGGGCTTCTTCATGAGTTTTGGAAGAAATTCATTCAACATGTGTATTGACCAATTCCAGGTCAGGCCTTATTACAAGGACTAGAAATATAGCAGGTCCTGTGTTCATAGGTTTACAATATGAGGGAAGAAATCGATACCCAAAAAAAAGCAAATTATGGGGATGGAAACAATAGGAGGAGATAGACAGAGAATAGGGTGGGGAGAAGAGTAAAGAATCAGCCTCTCTGAGGAGAGCTGGTCTAGTTCAAGGAACAGAAAGGAAGAGGGAGAATGCAGCTGCTGAAGCTGGAGAGAAGCTAAGGCCCAGGCAGGAAGGGCTGTATCGAGAGTTCAGGTTTTTAGCTTGAGGGAAACGCAGAGCTCCAAAGGGTTTGGAGCAGGAGTGACATACCTGAAAGGGGTCTGAAGACCCTTCTCCCCACTCCCACCTCCCCCACCAGGCCCAGCTGGCCCGGGCACTATATGACAACACCGCTGAGTCCCCCCAGGAGCTGTCCTTCCGCCGAGGGGATGTCCTACGGGTCCTGCAGAGGGAGGGCGCTGGTGGACTGGACGGCTGGTGCCTCTGCTCCCTACACGGCCAGCAGGGCATTGTGCCCGCCAACAGGGTGAAGCTCCTGCCTGCTGGCCCAGCACCGAAGCCCAGCCTCTCTTCTGCGCCCCCAGCCCAGCCTGGCTCACCATATCCAACCCCAGATCACAGCAATGAGGACCAGGAGGTAAGAGTGGGAGCCTCCCCAACCCGAAGCCGAAGAGCCCCATTCCTCCCCCACTGCCCCCAGCCAGGGCCTGCAGCAGGTGGGCAGGGAGAACCCTGAGGCCACAGCTCTTCAATGCTCTGCACTGGACAAAACTTGTCTACCAAACTTTCCGAGCTGTGGCCCTCTCGGTATAGGGGGAGTTGGAAGGTCTCTAAGCTCCTTGAACTCAGACATTATCTGATCACTGCTCCTTCCGTTCCTCCTGATCCCCCATCTGTTTGATCCCTCAGGTATATGTGGTGCCACCCCCAGCTCGGCCCTGTCCAGCCTCAGGACTTCCAGCTGGACCTTGCCCACCCTCTCCTGACCCCATCTACAAGATCCCCAGAGCCAGTGGGACCCAGCTGGCTGCCCTCAGAGATGTCTTGGAGGTGAGGGTTAGAGGTCCTTGTGTACATTGGGTGGGAGACAGATGGCCCCAAGGGAGGGTTCATTGCTGAGCCGACAGGTGACTGACCACTCCTCCCCACAGGTCTACGATGTGCCCCCCACCGCCCTCCGGGGGCCTTCCAGTGGTCCCTATGACTGCCCTGCCTCCTATTCCCACCCTCTGACCCGGGTTGCCCTGCAGCCCCCTGGAGAGGATGATGCTCCCTATGATGTGCCTCTGACCCCAAAGCCACCTACAGAGCTGGAACCAGATCTGGAGTGGGAAGGAGGCCGAGAGCCAGGGCCCCCCATCTACACTGCTCCCTCCAACCTGAAACGAGCGTCAGCTTTACTCAATCTGTATGAAGCACCCGAGGAACTGCTGGCAGACAGGGAGGGCAGGGGCACTGATGAGGGGATCTACGATGTGCCCCTGCTGGGGCCAGAGGCTCCCCCTTCTCCAGAGCCCCCTGGAGCTTCGGCCTCCCTTCACCTGGACGCCCTGGCCCAGCTTCTGCCCCGAAGTCCCCCACCTCCACACAGGCCCCGGCTCCCCTCAGCTGAGAGCCTGTCCCGCCGCCCTCTGCCTGCCCTGCCTGTCCCTGAGGCTCCCAGCCCCTCCCCGGCACCCTCTCCTGCCCCAGGACGGAAGGGCAGCATCCAGGACCGGCCTCTGCCCCCACCTCCACCCCGCCTGCCTGGCTTTGGGGGCACCAAGGTTGAGTGGGATCCAGAGGGCAGGGAGGTACAGGACGACCCAGCTCACCACAATGAGTATGAGGGCATTCCGATGGCTGAGGAGTATGACTACGTCCACCTGAAGGTGAGTGCCCCTCGACAGCCCCACCAGGAGGACCCTTGGGAGACCAAGGGAAGGAATGTGGAGGCCTAGGGCACAGAGGCAGAGCCTCCCTGCCTCCCTTCTGTCCCCCTTCCCTCTCCCCTGGCCCTCCACCCTGCAACCTCAGTACTTGGCCACAACATTTGTACCAGTGCCACACCATTTTCCCCTAGACCCAGCCTGGGGCCACCAGAGCTCTCTAGAGTCAAGGGACTACAACCTCTGATAACAGAAGTGTCCTTGGGAAGGAAGGGGGGCTAGGAAGGGGCAGAAAGGCTGCAGAGGCCACCCCATCCTGCTCCCTCACCCCAGCACTGAGACTCAATCCCCTCCTGCAGGGCATGGACAAAGCTCAGGGACCCAGGGCCCTGGATCAGGCCTGCACAGAGGATCCTGAACAGCCCGAGAGTCGGACGCCAGCAGCACCACAGGTAACCCTGGTGGGAATGGTGCTAGGGAAGGCGGCCGGGGAGGGAGGAACAGGGACTTGGGAGAAGAGCTGAGCCATCGAACATAGAAGGAAAGAGGTTAGGATGGAGTGACAGTTCACAGGAAGCAGGGAGGGACAGAGTGGAGGTGAGTTAGAATCCTACAGGAAGGAACTGGAACTTGGAAGAGGATGTCAGGAATTCAGAAAGAGGGGAAAGAATGTGTTGGAGAGGAGTCAGAAAAGCAGCCAGGAGAGCAGAAAGTTTCTGAGCTGTGGGGTCAGAGCTGGGCCTGGGGACTTCTGAGCTTCCTTCCAACTGTGAATTCCTGGGCTCCTAAGAGACCTAGCTCCTAATCCCGGCTCCACTATTGAGAAGCCAGGGGCTTTGAAGCCGCTAGTTAATCTCTCCAGGCCTCAGAAAGTGAGGTGGTTTCCTCAACCCTGTGTAGAATGGTCGCAACACAATAGCTACCATTTATCAGGTATTTACCAAGTACCAGATCCCGTGCTAGGCACATTGCATGCGTTAGTATTAACCACAGTCACAATGAATACACATCTGAGGCCGGGCATGGTGGCTCACGCCTGTAATCCCAGTATTTTGGGAGACCAAGGTGGGCGGATCACTTGAGGTCAGGACTTCAAGACCAGCCTGGACAACATGGTGAAACCCCATCTTTAAAAAAAAAAAAAAATACACATCTGGTGCTCATGGAGTGCAATGCACACCTCCGTGCCAAGCCCTTCCTCTGTATCATCTCAATCGATCTTCACTGCAGCCTCATGAGGTACATACCAGTACTGCACTATCTAGTACAGTAGCCCCTAGCTACATATGGCCAGTGAGCACTCAAGAAGATATGGCTAGTTCAAATTGAAATATGCTGCGAATATAAAATGCACCCTGGATTTTGCAGACTTAATATGGGAAAAATATCAGTAATTTTCATATTGATTATATGTTGAAAATATAACATTTTTATATTTGTAGTTAGATAAAAAGTTACCAGGATTTTTTTTTTCTACCGCTTTTAACGTGGCTACTGACACATCTAAAATTTCACATGTAGCTCACATAATGTTTACACTGGACAGTATAGTCCTAGACTCCCTGTTTTAGAGTTAAGGAAACCAAGTTCAAAGACTTGTCGGAAATCAAGTTTGAGGTTATTTAAATCCAGATCTATCTGATATCAAGCATGGGCACTTCACTGCCACTCTAGAATCTAAACTTTCTGATGGGCAGAGATAAGAATTAAAAGGATTGCCCTTCGGAAGAAAGGGAGGAAGCAGAAAAGAAGTGAGGGAGGAAATGGCGCTAATGAGAATGTTCCCTCTGACCACTCCTCTTGCCCCTTAGGAGTCCCTGTCCCCAGGGGAGCCGCTGGTTCTGTCCACCGGAGACCTACAGCTCCTGCAGTTCTACGCCGGGCAATGCCAGAGCCACTACTCAGCCCTGCAGGTGGCTGTGGCAGCCCTGATGTCCAATATCCAGGCTAATCAGCCCCCAAGCCTCTTCGTGCCCCACAGCAAGAGGGTGGTGGTGGCTGCTCACCGCCTGGTGTTTGTTGGGGACACCCTGGGCCGGCTGGCAGCCTCTGCCCCTCTCCGAGCACAGGTCAGGGCTGCAGGTACAGTGCTGGGCCAGGCATTGCGGGCCACTGTGCTGGCTGTCAAGGGAGCTGCCCTGGGCTACCCATCCAGCCCTGCAATCCAAGAGATGGTGCAGTGTGTAACAGAACTGGCAGGGCAGGCCCTGCAATTCACCAACCTGCTCACCAGCCTGGCTCCCTGAAGGTCCTTTGGCACAGCTCTGCCCCTCCTCTGCCTGCCAAAGCCCCCCTCCAGCCTTAGGTGGCTGGAGGACTTTGTTAAGGGACCAGGAGAGGTGGAGGTATCTTTCCCCTCTCCTTCCTTTTCTGTCATCTCAGCCTCTCACAGAGGTGTCTTCTCCCCCAACCCACAGCTTTTTGTATGAGCCATTTTGTATAAATTATTTATATTTAATATTATTCCCTGTTTTGTCAGGAGCAGGTACTAGGCGCTGGGGCAGGGAGGAACTGGACCCTTCTCTCCTCAGCCTAGGGTGGAGGCCACTGCACTGCCACCCACCTCTGGAAGACTGGCCATGAAGAGTCAGGTGACAAAAACCTGGGGCCATACAGAGACTCTCTCTTTTTCTGTTTCTTGGCACTAGAAGATCAGTGCTGCACTATTAGCTGAGAGGGCAAGATATAAACTGCCCAGAGATTGAAGGTCTCAGAGAGACCAGAGGGCTTCTCCCCACAGAAGGCAGGAGAGAGCCGGGACCCAGACATGGGTGTGCACCTCAATAAACCCCTGCTGTCTGCCTCCCTGATTCTGCCTCTTGGGAGCATGGTGAGCAACGCTGGTGCTCAGCAGCCATACCTATTGGACACACACTGAACAGGATGCCTTTTGGGGTTTGGGGGAGATTTTGCTCCTTTCTTCGACAACTATTCACTGGACAAGTTCTTTGCTCTCATGATGGGCCAGGCACAGTTCTGCAAGTATATTGTGAATGTATCATTCCAGTGGGATACACAAATAAGTCAGTTAACATATATAAATAAAAACAGAAACCTGCCACAGATTTGACATTTGCTGGTGTTGGAAATCAGCACTGTGATATGAAGAAACTAAGTAGATGAGAGGGGAGGCCAGTGAAGGAGACTTTAGACAGGATGGTTGAAAGGTGAGATCTGAACTGAAACCCGAAGGAGGAGAGTCTGAGGACTAGTGTCATCAGAAGGCAGACCCCGATGACTGACCTGAGAGCCTTTCTTCAAGACTTCATTGTCAAATGATGTCATTAGAGAGGTGTCAATGTGGAGAGAAGCTGGCCATACAAGGACCTTGAAATGTGCCATCCTGAAGAGGCCCCCCCAACTAAAGGCCCAGCCTCAGCTTTGCACCACAGGATAACTCTGGCCAACTAGAGAATGCTGCTGGCCAGTCTGGGCACCCTCTTCCTTAGGTGACCCCAAGAGGGTCTAGGCTCTTTCACTCGGCTTCCCAGGTAGATATTGCAGGATGACCTACTCATCATCATTTTGGACAAATCATTTTCTGGAGGATCTGCGTGGCGCGGTGGCTCACACCTATAATCCCAGCACTTTGGGAGGCTGAGGGTAGAGCACTGCTTGAACTCAGGAGTATGAGACCAGCCTTGGCAACACAGCGAGACCCTGTCTTAACAAAACATCAAAAAATTAGCCAAGTGTGGTGGCATGTGCACATAGTCCCAGCTACTCGGGAGGCTGAGGTAGGAGGATCACTTGTGCTCCAGCCTGGGCAAGAGAGTGAGACTGTCTCAAAAAGAGAATTTCCCATATATGGAAAATTTCTGAACAGAGGAGATAAGTTAAAGGTGTGGTTCAGTGAAGAGAAGGGGGAATGATTTTCTGGCTGACTACGATAGAAAACTTTCCAGCCCTTGCCTAGGATTAGAGAATGAAGCACCTATCAGGTAACAAATCTCTTAGAGAAGTGTGTCTCTACCTTTAATGTATTATACCTATACCTGGGAATCTGGTTAAAATACAGATTAGGATTCAAGGGTCTGGGATTCTGCAATCTATACCTGAGGATCTGGATAAAATACAGATTAGGATTCAAGGGTCTGGGATTCTGCATTTCTAATGAGCTCCCAGGTATGCTGCTAGCCTATGAACCACACTTTGAGTAGCAATTCTAGAGGTTAGGGAAGGCTTCTCTGTAGCAAAGAAGCTTGAGCTGAGAGCTGAAGGATGAGGGAAATGTAACTAAGAAGCTTTTTAGGTGCAGGAACCAGCTTGTTCAAAGGCCTTGTGGCACTGGGAAAACTAGAGGAAGGTCTGTGGCTGGAGTGCAGAGAGTTTGGGGAACGAAGTGAGAAGGAACCACAGAGCACATGTGACCAGGCATGCAGAACCACGTATGAGGTATCTAGAGTTTTAATATTCACCTCGACAGTGAGGAGACACCACTGAAGGCTGGTTAGCAGGAAAGGCACATGATCAGATCTGCATTTTGAAAAGATCATTTCATCTGCACTATAAATGACATATGGGTGGCAGGGAGGTAGAAACGAAGTGGAAGCAGAATGTCAGTTAGGAATTAGGGGGCCAAAGTGATCTTTCCAACAGGTAGTTTGACCAATACTGGTAGGGATGGAGAGATGTGGGATATCTGAGAATATATAGGAGGTAAAATGGACAGAATTTTGTAAATGATTCAACATGGGTAAGAAAGAAAAAGCTTTAAGGGCTGTTGCCTGAGCATCTGGAAGCAATGCGATGTTGAGGGTGCCATTCACTGCAGAAAAAAGCAGTGGAAGACAACCAAGTTATAGAGGGAAAGCACGAGTTTGGTCTTGAACATACTGAGTTGGAAGGTCCCTGTGAGTCATCCAAGGTGAAGGTAAGATAAAAGGTGGGTCTGGAGCTCAGAACAGAGGTGAAAGCTGGAGTTGTCAGTTTGGGCATCTGGTTCGTCTTGTTCGTATGGGTGGTGACTGAAGCTGTGGGCATGGGTGAGATCCCAAGGTGGAGAGTGTGAAATGAGAGAAGGGCATAGGGCTAAGTCTCTGAGGATTCCAGACACTGAACGATGGTGTCTAAATGATACAGACAGGAATGGCCCTAGAAGCCAGCACCACCAGCCTTGTCACTACCAATTACAGACCCTTCCTGCAGTTGCTTCACCCTGCTGAACTTCAACCACTGCCTCAAGAACCAGAGCTATAATGGCCTGCCCATGCTCAGCACCAATGCCATGACCTGGAAGATGGTTTCTGCAGTGGAGAAAAGGGGAGCAGAAGGGACTTAGAAGCCAAGGAAGACAGTGTTTAGAGGAAGAGGGGGTCAACAGTGCCAAATGCTGTTGAGAAGTGGAGATTCAACCAGGATGGGAGTGGTGAAACCCAGGGAAGTGATCTCCTTGTAGAGGACTGAAACTAGCTAGGGCTGAATACAGGGCCAAGCCAGTCTTCCATATGCATAAGTTGGACTGCAGTAGCCAGCTTACATGTCTGTCTCCCTGTAGTAATGGTCTCCAAGGTGGACCTTGTCCACCCTATTATCCCTAAAGTCAAATGCAAATCCTAAAATATAGTAGACACTTAAATTTTACTGATTAGTGAAGGAGTGGATGAATGAATGAATGAGTGATGGCAAATAATTGGAAGCAGAGGAAGAATCTCTGGCATCTGCCTGGACTAGCTACTATCCTTCAGCTTTTTTTCCCTTTTCACCGCAATGGCCCGCAGACCCAGGAAAGAGACGGCAGAGCCCCCTTCCCCTCCCTCCCCTGGGCCCTGGCCCCCCTTCCTCCCTGTGACGAAGAGTCTGGACCGAAGGTTCTGCTGACGTGGGAAGGGGAGGAGAGTCTAGAGGAAGGGGAGGGGAAAGCCGCGCAGAGATCGCAGAGACCGAGGAGGCGCCCGCGGCTGCAGAGCTGCAGAGCGGGATCTCTTCGGGCTCTCTGTGTCCGGGCAGCCGGCACGCAAGTGGGCCAGAGGACAGCGCATCCTTTTGGGGCAGGCCGGCAGGGCCCCTGCGGTCGGCAAGCTGGCTCCCCGGGTGGCTACCGGGACCCCCGAGCCCAATGGCGGGGGCGGCGGCAAAATCGACAACACTGTAGAGATCACCCCCACCTCCAACGGAGTAAGTGCCTGCGCCCCAGGTAGCGACGCCATCCTCTCTCCGCACCCCCGCCCCCGCCGAGCGCCCGGCATTTTCCTCCTGCGCATCCCGCGCCCCTGACTGCCTGCCTGGCCCTCGCTCCCGCCCGCCCCCTGCCCTTGCTCTGCGGTTTCCTCCGCTTCACCCTTCTCCTGCCACCCCCTGCCCCCCAACAGCAGGTCGGGACCCTCGGAGATGCGGTGCCCACGGAGCAGCTGCAGGGTGAGCGGGAGCGCGAGCGGGAGGGGGAGGGCGACGCGGGCGGCGACGGACTGGGCAGCAGCCTGTCGCTGGCCGTGCCCCCCGGCCCCCTCAGCTTTGAGGCGCTGCTCGCCCAGGTGGGGGCGCTGGGCGGCGGCCAGCAGCTGCAGCTCGGCCTCTGCTGCCTGCCGGTGCTCTTCGTGGCGCTGGGCATGGCCTCGGACCCCATCTTCACGCTGGCGCCCCCGCTGCATTGCCACTACGGGGTCTTCCCCCCCAATGCCTCTGGCTGGGAGCAGCCCCCCAATGCCAGCGGCGTCAGTGTCGCCAGCGCGGCCCTAGCAGCCAGCGCCGCCAGCCGTGTCGCCACCAGTACCGACCCCTCGTGCAGTGGCTTCGCACCGCCGGACTTCAACCATTGCCTCAAGGATTGGGACTACAATGGCTTGCCAGTGCTCACCACCAACGCCATCGGCCAGGTGAGGCGGCCAGGCGGGCCGCGGGTCTGGGGGCGGGCAGAGAGCGGCGAGGGCGGGGCCTCACGCCCGCTGCACCCTTCTCACATCCCCAGTGGGATCTGGTGTGTGACCTGGGCTGGCAGGTGATCCTGGAGCAGATCCTCTTCATCTTGGGCTTTGCCTCCGGCTACCTGTTCCTGGGTTACCCCGCAGACAGGTGAGGGCTGTCGTGGGGGCAGGGCTGGTAGAAAGGAGGGGGTGCTAGGGAAGCTAGCCCAAGCAGCGGGCGTTTGCAAGAGGTCGAAGACGATTCACTGGACTCTACAGTCTTCTCCAGACTTCTATTCAATGGTCTACCCTTGTCTCAACTTCACTCCCCATCAAGAAATACACCTTCCCTACCTCTTACGTGCAAAGGAATGACTCGACCTCCATGGACTATTAGCCCCATTCCCACTGATCAGTGGCCCCCAATCTGTGAATCAATGGCCTCATCTCCCCAGAGAATAGTCTCATCCCCACTAATAGCCCACGTGGACCGTCAGTTTCATGTCAGTGACCTCATTCCTGAAGATCAATATGTTAATTCCTAAACACCAACAGCTCCATTCCCACTGACCAGTAGTTCAACTTCACGAACAAATTATCCCATTTCTGACCAGTGGCCCCTCCCCTACGAGTCAATAACTATCTCCAAAGAAAATACCCTCCGACTCAATAACCCACAGCCCCATGCCTGCCACCAAATGACCTCACCCTCTGTGGGTGAATAATAGTCCCACCCTCATGGATCCTCAGGGATTTGAGATTCTCTCACAAAATCCTCATTTCCATGAGTCAGTAGCTTCACCTGCAGAGATCAACTACCCAATCCCAACAACCAATAACTCTTCCCACAGATCAAAAATCTCTTCTCTGATTCTGGTCACCATCACCAGTGAACAGGTGCTCTCACTCCACTGAACATCCTCATGGAGGATTAGACTCAGCCCCATTGATCCACAATCCCATCCAAGTGGATTAATAGCTCAACATCTATGGATCAAAGGCATCCCAATACTCAGTAGTTCGTTCCTTAAAATGAGTACCCATTTTCACTGCCCAATAGTCACACATCTCTGTGGGCCAATGATCCTAAACCCACAGGTCAATGGCCCATGCCTATGCATCAGTGGCCTCGTTGCCACAGACCAGTAGCCTTATTCCTATGGAACAATGGTTTTATCCCCAAAGATTAATAATTTGGTCTCCTAAAATCAGTAGTCTT